ACTCATCGATCAGAATCAAGTCTTTGCATTGACAATGTTTTTATTCGATGAGATATCTTCAGAAAATTCAACGAAGATTTTTATCCAAAGCAACGGTATAGTCTCCGAACATATTGTTTAAGGGGTTACATGCCTTTCCTCGGGTAAAAAAGCCTTTTTCAACAGTTTTTTCTCATATAAAAAATTAAACATTGTATTCGAATTTTTTTTCGTTACAAATATATACTATTATATATTATTGCAAGAATAACTCCATACAGGATCAACTAAAGTGAAAAAATACGTGTTTTAGTTAAAACCTTAACTTAGAATTTGGACGAAGGAAAAAAACTGAAAATTTTACTATCGGCAGACAATTTGAGAAAAATTTAAAATTTCAGTGAAATTTTTTTTTTCAAATAGCTGTAAACGAAAAACAATCTTTCGTTTAAGTTTTTAAGAATTGTATCTAAAGACCTGTGTAAAATTTCATGAAGATCGGTTGAATAGTTCTCGAGGAATCTTTCCAACCGACTTTAAAAACACAGTTTCGAGCAAAACCCGTTTAAAGAAGGTGCACTCAGCTTAGCTAGACTTTGATCAACTTGAAAATATAGAACAATATTCTAGAGGAGCTGTAGAATTTAATAAGATAATAACAACAATCGATTTTATAAAGCCATAAGATCATGTAACCCCTAAAATCGGACCATCACAGCATAGTAATAGCTGCCTATACAAGCTGACCTATCAAAATGAAGATAAAGATTTCCTATACTCTTTCATGTCATAAGAAACTAATCTATGAATGGTATTATGAATTATTTTCAGTGCATCCAAAGTTAACGATTTTTCTATTTTTTCTAAGTATTACAGAAGTTCTTCGAAGTTAACCTTACAGTTTATACATAAAAAGGCGAAACTTAAAGCAAATGCCACATTAAATACTTGATTCAATCGGTTTAATTTAAAATGTAAGAATGGTTTTCTTCAATTAGTGAGTTTAATTAACCAACAACAACTTTTCAACTACATGATCATTAATTATTCTAAACACTTGCACACTTTTTAAAGCGATTAAACCAATTAACTCTGAATAAATCAGACAGAAAATTATCATTATGGATTATTTAAAACAGAATATATTTTATCTGACAGTAGAACATTAAAACAGAACAGCAAATAAAAGTAGTGAAACATAAAGACCACGACTGCTAGTAAATTACAGTGCTGTTGGGGCCACCGTTGCACAAAATCAAGGTTAACACGTTCGGCCTCTTTCTACGACAACAACACACGGCGGCGGCGCAATAAGCAAGCGTTCATTTATTTCGATAATAAAACTAGAATGAAACACAATTTCGTGCCAAATGCAATTAGAGCGCAGTAACACTAAACAATAACAACAAATATACATAAAAAATAAGCAACAAAACGACTAGAATATTCGGAAAAATATAAAAATCGACCGTTGAATTGCAGGAAAAGTGCAAAATAAACAAAAATCAATTGTTAGCACAGCAAGAATGTAGTAAAAGGAGAAATAAAGGAGTGAAAGGAAGTATTTACAATAAAAAGAAAAACAACATTGGCTTTCCACTTTGTGACACGTTGAACCAATTCGTGTGCTCTCAACCAGCCAATTGGCCATGTCCGGACTGTGACCACCTGCAGCAACACAATCGCCTGCCAATCAGCTCATTCATGTAAATTAAATAAACCGCAATGCTTTTAAGCGTGATTAAAGCACAAATTATATATGCATGATTTATGTATGGCTGTGTGTATGTACGTATTAAAACTTACAATTACAATCATCGAATCAACGGCAAATTATGCACTTGCAACACACCTTTGTTTTGCTATATGTTGTTGTTTTTTACCAATTTGTGTGTATGTGTTGCCACCAAAAGCACAGTCGTGCATCGGCGCGGAGTGTTTGAGTCGTTTACCCCACCCCCAATGGCTTGGTTATTAAAAAAGAAAAATACAGTAGAACGTGATTTACAACTTTTCATTTTCTGCACCAGCTGAAAACGCTATATGTTGTGTGTAATTATGTGCATTAGGGTGTGCCGTTTATGACAAGGAAAAAGTATAGAAACAAGAAAAAATATATTACAGAATTTTAAATCTAAAGATAGTAGTCAACATATATTCAAAAAAAAATATATATTATTCAAATCATAATTTTTTATACCATCACCCTAAACTGCTTTCGTATATAGTCTTATATTCTACTTATTCAACATATTTTCCTTTTGTCTACTTTACTTATTGTTTTTCGTGCTTTATTAGCTATGAAATTCTTATATATGTAAATATGATTGTAGTTTTTTCGTTCCTCATTTGTTTCATTGTCCGTCTAGCTTATTGGCTTTTAATTGCTTTCGATTGCTTTTCGACGCACAAAAGCCGAAATTAAGTTGATTGTTTTTTATGCATTTGATGATTTCCTTAAGCATTATCGGGATTTCCATTATTTTTCTTTGAATAGATTAATAGCCACCATAAGCTTTGTTAGTCAAACAATTTCGAATTTGTGTCAACGATTTAAAAAATTGTGTATCCACTCAATTACATTCACAATCCGAAAACTTACATTGACAATAGATTTTCGTTAAATCCTTTTCATTTCAAAAAACTTGTTTTCAATTGAGTTTAGAGGATTTGCAATCCATTACATTATAACAACTTTCTTTGCGGTGAGAAATAGCTGGCGTTTTCATTTCCAACTTCTACACAAACTATATAGTAATTGGGATGGTTCATTGGTTTTCCGAATTTGTGCTGTTTAAGCTCAATTTTATTTGAAAAGTCATCCTTGCGAAACTTTTACCATTATGTTAATCCCTCAAGCATCTAGAAAGATCAAGTTTTCTATTATGTTCCGAAAACTCTAGTACCAATTTATATATAAGGCATAAAGAAACAATTATGGCGTTAAACCGAATATAGGCTAACTTACATCTGCAGTACGCTTCTGTTGGTATGATATTTCAAAGTTCATTGAAAGTACACATACTATTTCTTTAATCAAATCTACACATTCTACCTTGCTTTAAACACTATCGATCCATTGTTTGAAACCATGTCACCATTCTAGAATAACGCCAGAAAAAAACTATAGATAATTTTTATTTTTTTGTAATGAAGACGGTAAATGTTTTTAAGAATAGTGTTGCGAACAAGTAGGTTCTTTTTTCTTTAGAATATAGAAATATAGAATTGAATTAGATAATAAAAAAAGGTTTTCTGTGTAGCCGTGAAACTCATTTAAGCCCCGTCTAAAAAAAGTTGCGTAGCTGTAACTATATCGCACTTTATACCGAAGATATCGGCCAATCTTTCACATATACATTGTGACAAAAAAGTAGAAACTGTAATTTAAATTCCCTGGGTAAATGATATTTCAAAAATGTATTTTGCTAAGTTGGCAGGACTGTCCTTAACTTCTATGCCGAATATGAGCCCGATCAGTCCAATCAGTTTGCTTATAACACCTACTTAAGTCGGTTCACCGTAGTAGTGCATGCGGTTTTGCAAAGGATAAAAATATCGAATAAAGAACTTGTCTTAAATTTTGTATTTCTAACCAAATTTTGTTAGCGGATTTACTACGAATGTTGGAAAAATCTTACAGTGATTCAGCAGTATCAAAACCGAGTGGTGCAAAGCCTTGAAAGACCGTCGAAAGATCGTTGAAGACATGACTCGTTCTGGAGGACTTTCAACCTTTTCAATTGATTAAAATATTTAAAAAAGGTAGAAACCGTTAGCTTGACATTCTCACGAATCCTTTTGAAAGATTTTGCTGGATACTTTGGAGGCAACAAAAAAAATTTTGATGAATAATTAAATATTTTTCGTTTTATTTACACTATACTTTTACGTCTACTTTTTTGTAACAATATATTAATGAAATTTAGAGAGTATCTTTATACTATCGCAACAAAGTTGCTAAAGAGAGTATTATAGTTTTGTTCACATAACGGTTGTTTGTAAGTCCTAAAACTAAAAGAGTTAGATATAGGGTTATATATACCAAAGTGATCAGGGTGACGAGTAGAGTTGAAATACGGATGTCTGTCTGTCTGTCCGCCCGTCCGTCCGTGCAAGCTGTAACTTAAGTAAAAATTGAGATATCATGATGAAACTTGGTACACGTATTTCTTGCCTCCATAAGAAGGTTAAGTTCGAAGATGGACAAAATCGGCCCACTGCCACGCCCACAAAATGGCGGAAACCGAAAACTTATAAAGTGTCATAACTAAGCCATAAATAAAGATATTAAAACGAAATTTGGCACAAAGGATCGCATTAGGGAGGAGCATATTTGGACGTACTTTTTTTGGAAAAGTGGGCGTGGCCCCGCCCCTACTAACTTTTTTGTACATATCGTGAAAACTACTATAGCTATATCAACCAAACTGTATATAGTCGCTTCCTTTTGGCATTTCCATGTACAGTTGAAAAATGGAAGAAATCGGATAATAACCACGCCCACCTCCCATACAAAGGTTATGTTGAAAATCACTAAAAGTGCGTTAACCGACTAACAAAAAACGTCAGAAACACTAAATTTTACGGAAGAAATGTCAGAAGAAAGCTGCATTCAGGCTTTTTTTAAAAATTGAAAATGGGCGTGGAGTCGCCCACTTATGGACCAAAAACCATATCTCAGGAAGTACTCCACCGATTTCAATGAAATTCGGTATATAATATTTTCGTAATGACATGTACCAAATATGGGTGAAATCGGTTCACAACCACGCCTGAAATTTCGATTAACACTTTATCATGCGAGAGTATAAAATGTTCGGTGACACCCGAACTTAGCCCTTCCTTACTTGTTTTCTGATAATAATGTCCCAACCATATCATATATTTTCATATTTATTTAGGTCAATAAGGGCGATATTTTAATGAAGTAATATGCTTAAGAAATTTCTTAAGAATGTAATACAAATTACTTGTAACTTCAATTAATCTCGCTTTTATGTTTTGCTGTCTCATTTCAGCACCATAAGCAAAGAGTGAATGCAACTTTAGAAGGTAAGTGAAACAGCTACTACATCTGAAAGTTAAACAGCAAAATTCCATGTATTTTCACTTTTCATTAATAACTAAACTTAATAAATGCATAAGTTTGTGCAACACATAAGCGCCACGTCATCCGCCTAGTGAATATGATTCTAACGCGACTTGCAACGAAGAACATTGCCAGTATATGTATAAATAAGCAAACATGTGCATATATAGTAGATATGGTATATGTATATATCGGCACTTAATTAACTCACCTTCTCAAAAATAGCAAATTTATGCACACATAACACTTAAGTACATATTTGCATTGCTATGTGTGCGCTTTTTCTGTGCATAAGTAGAAGCAACTTCACACTTTAATTGCAAAACTTGCTGTTTCAAGGTAGAAATTCACTTTTCGCTTTCGCATTAGCCCAAGCGTATGTGGCATATGTTTTCTGTTTGCAACTAAATTCAAATTTGTTTACTTACAACATGTGTATTTACATATGGACACAAGCAAATGTTTATGTTTCTGTGGTATTTTGGTGTTTATGCATTGAATTGCAAGCAAGCCAACTGCAAAGTAGAAATGTGAGAAAATAATGCGCTTTGGATGTTGCACACTCAAGTTGTTGCAGTTAGAGTACATAAACATAGATATATACCATATGTATATGATTTATTAACTATGGTGGAGTTAGAAAATCAATTGGATTTTATGCCCTCATTATTTACTAGTGATATTAATTTTTTTTTTATGAAAAAAAAATCGAAGGAAATTTTTAGAATCTAAATCACAAGATTAAAATTTGATTGTAAGATTCATAGAATGGTACTTTCGGATAAAAGTTGCAATAAATCTATAATCTAGGCGAGGTTCTTGAATTACCTTAAGTTTGTTTCCAATTTGTTAACGATAAATTCGATCTAGTGAATTCTTCAGCACCTCATATTTAGAACATGAAACTTTTTGGATTGCTCGGCTTAAATTTCCAATTATAAGCGAATTCTAAGAAGCTATTAAATTTTATGGCCACTATCCTAGAGAACAGCACATAACACCAATTTATATACCATGCACACAAAGTTTACCAAGAAGTGTTTAACATTGGATTTAGCCATGTCTGTCTGCACTACCCTGGGGAGGAATGTTTTGTCTTTTCACTTTACCTCGCCTTTAAACTTGGATACTTGGTTTAAGATCAGAGCTCGTGAGTTGCTTAAGCCATGTATAAAAGAATCGTTTCTGACCACTCCCAAGTGAATGGCGCTCAGAGAACTTACGTGAACTGCTGCACGTGGCTCCACCCTTCTGAACTATTCCCGCAGTTTTTGAGATATTGGTCTGAACTTTTACACGCATTCCTTTCTCTGCAAGAAGTCGGAGCCTTCGATATGATCTGTTTTCCCCTACACAATATAGTTGTTGTACTCCATTAAACTGAGGTCCTTACGTGGAAAACTTTTTGATAATTTTAATCTCAGGCACATCGGAACATTGTAGCGTATACATAGTTAGTAGCTACCACTCATACTGATGGATCCAAATCACGATACAGATATTTTATGTTACAAAAAAACTCAATTGTAAAAGGCATTATAGCTTCGGTCCAACCGAAGTAAACGTTTTTTTTTTTTTATATAACGGATGAGCCAAGTAGAGGTCATTTTTGTAAAACCCTTTTGGCAGATCACGTGAGAGGCGTATCAAGCTGTTACATTACTTTTGTTCAGTATTGTTTGGCATTTCATCATGGACAGACTTACGCCTGAAGTTTACGTTACAAATCGTTCCACTATATTACCAAAATTAACGTTCTGTAAAAAATGTGTTTCGCACGCTTCGGTGTTGGTCGTCCCGGTGGAATCATCGATCCATATTTCTTCACAAATGATGCCGATGAAAATTTAACCGTCAAAGGCTACGGTTGTTGTGTTATGATAACTTTGATACGTAAAATTTAAGCTCGTGATCTCGTCAACATTTAGTTTCAACAAGACGGCATCACTTCTCAATCAATAGATTTATTGAGAAAACACTTCGGTGAGTAGATAATTTCACGATTTGGGCTGCTCGATTGCCCACCAAGATCATATAATAGAACACTGTTGGCCTTTTTCCTGTGGGGATATGTAAAGTCTAAGGTCTATGCAGATAATACCGTTTGGATTCAGACCTTGGAACAAAACAGCACTTGTGTCATTCGCAAATTACCAGGCGAAATGCTCGAATTAATCGAAAATTGGACTCAACGGATATGTGTGTGTGTGCATGTTCAAACATTTATAGATGATATTTTGTTTTTGTTGCACGTGCATTGTTGGGTGGCCAAGATTTAGCTAAACTCATGTTCGCGCCATGAACCACATTAATCACAAATCGTAAAAGGATGTTGAGTTAGAGAATTATGTTTTTTGAATGTTGTTATTGTTTTCTAATCTAGGCGCTTGACTTGGCAGATGAGCAAGCGAAATTACATATATGTATATAGATACATAATATAATATATATGTACAAAGTATGCAGGAAATTGCATGTGTGTGACCACAAGACACAAAATGATATACAACTTATCAAGATGCACGTAGCAACATCCATATATGTATATATACTCAACAGCATGTATAGTTCTACATATTCACAAATAAAGATAAAAATTATCTACATACATGTGTATGTATGTATCTCTGCGAAAATCAGCTTAAGCGCTCTGATGCAATCGCGTAAAGTGCTGCTGTGTCTGGATTGATGGCTGAATGATTTTGAAATATGTGTTATAAATCTGATTAAGCCAAAAAAGAGCGAAATGAAAATTATGACAGAAGATTCGTAAGCCAAAAGCAGATACTGCACGTACATAAACATAATTGTAAAAAAAACTATATATATTATATATGTATGTATGTGTTTACAATATGCTTCTTTAAAAATCTGTATATTTGTATACAGTTGGTTGCCAGAAATATATCTATAATTGTATGTACATATGTGTGACTGTCTGTATGCAACATGAACGCCAGTAGCGAGCAGTAGCTTTTAATGCTTTTCATGTAAATGGGCTAACCGACAACCAGGAAGCATAATTCTCGCAAAGATGCGAAAGGCAATAAAAAACGAAGCGAAGCGAAGCAAAAATTTGCAAACAAATTATGTGTGTACGTATGTTGGTATGTAAAACAACTGGCACGCGGCTTAGTGCAACGTTCGCATTAAACAGTAACATCCATACACATATAGTATATGCACATATGTTTATTGGCAAACGAACATTCGAATATAAACATGCTTGTCCGTATGTAAATGCAAGAAATATTGCGCATTCATAATGCACTTGTCTAACTGCAACTATCTACTTACAGACATATGGACAGACAACTAGGTATTGCACTGCCTCTTCCTTGAAGCTTATTGCAAAGCGCATTGCTAAATTGATGAATGACTTACAACAGGAAGATACAGTAGCAACTAGCCTATGGGCTTAAGCTTAAATAATGGATAAGTATGTATACATTGTATATACATAAGTATATGAATATATATGCTCACTGTTGTAATAAATTAGGTGTTTATACTTACATATGTATGTACATATGAATATAGTTCCTTAATGAAGAATATGCTTGCACAGATTTTCTTAGAGGACTTCGGAAGGTGAAGATGTCATGTGTAATGAACCAACTACGTACATAATTCTTAAATTCAAAAAATAATAAGTCTTTGTTCATAATTATCAATTTCGGAATATTCAAAATCTATAACGTCCTCCTCAAAGTGATTCCCTTTGGCCTCAATGCACTTGTGTAACGATTTTTCCAAACCTCACAACAGTTGTTAAAGTCAAAATCACACAGAGCTAAATCTGGTGCATATGGTGGTTGCGGCACGATATGGGTTGAAAATTTGGCGAAAAACTCACGAAAAATCAATACACTATTCGACGGTGCATTATCGTGGTGCAAAACCCAAGAGTTGTCGACCCATAATTCCGGTTTACGAATAGCTTCGGGTAAATGACTCATAACGCTCAAAAAGTATTCCTCATTCACATTCGGAATGAAAAACACCTCGATAATCGACGAAAACTCGAAAACAAACAATATTGATTTACTTTGAAGTGGTTCTTTCGGCTTCGATATTCGGCGGATTGATCATCATAGATCCAAGACACATCGCCAGTAATAATACATTTTATGACAACCTATTAATCGGAAAGCATTGTTTCACAGATATTAATCGTGCTTTCACTTTTCTTTGACCCAAATGATCTTTCAAAATAATTTTCACTGATCTTTCCGATATTCCAACGATGCCAATGTGATCTTCGACTATTAATCGTAGACTCCCAATTAAACACAAGAAAATTTACATATAGAATATTCGGGCACAGATCGGTTGGTCTTAACATTTATACAGATCGCTCGAAAATGAACGATAGAGTTGGTGCAGCTTTTTAAGTTGCCGGGCGGCTGCAGTATATTTCAAGCTGAGGTCTTTACTATTGCGAAAGCCACGGATCTGTGCAGCCGAAACGTTATCAACATTGGGAATCCCATACATTTTCTATACGATGATCTGGTAAAGAAAATTAAAACACGATGATCCGAACTACCTGGGTGCTAAACTGCAAAAGTCATGTGCAAAACGGTAGATACACAAAACACCTATTGGCACTCGATAGGAGAGACTGTACTAACATTTTCGGAATACTAACCGGTCACTGTCGAAAAGACTGCAGAAAGTGTCTAGAGTAAGGCAACAGAGAAACGATGGAGCATATCTTGTGCACTCGTCCCGTATTGGCAAACTATGATGTAAGCAACGGTATGATACACTGCAGTAGCTATCGATAGTAAGGTCACAGAGGGCATAGTAGCTGACCAAAACTGGTCTATGCATGGCTCATTGGACTACCAGGCTAATCTAACCTAATCTAAAGCATTAACTAGAAGGTTTGGTTTAAACATCTCGTCGAATTTTGAAGTAAAAAAATGTCAATAATTTAATTTAATGCTATATTTTGTTA